ACATACTTTGGGCATTTTACCAGGAGAGGCTATTTCTTGGTGAGGGACATCATGCTTGGGAAGGTGAAGGGTAGGTGAAAGAGAGGAAGACTTTCAACCAGATGGATTGGCACAGCGACTGCTGCAATGGGCTTGAGTGTGTCAGAGATTGAGAGGATGGCACAGGATAGGATACAGTTTAGATTTGTTGTTCATAGGGTCACTGTGGGTTGTACTTAACACATAATAATAACAATAACAACAAATCTTTACAGGAGGAGACTGACTATGTTTCTTCTGCAGAGAGGCTATTATATTTTAACCACAGGTCTTGTGGTTAGCAGCATGACATGTTAACACACTATGAATAAATACCTTATGGTTCCAAACTTTTGTGACAATTCATAATGCCAGAGACTATAGTGTTTGGAAGCTATGGGTATAACAGACTGAGTCAACTGTTAATATATGACTTAGGCATTAACGGTCCATTGGAGAGCTTCATTGCTCAACATGGTGGCAACTGTTCCCACATGGCTACTTGAATGGAAATAAATGAAAACTTAATAAAATCACTTCAACAAGAAAAAAGTAAACAATCCAATCATCACAAATGAGCACAGGATATGAACAGATATGTAACAAAAGAAGACATTCAGATGGCAAACAAACATATGAAGGAATGTTCAAAATCCTCAGCTATCAGAGAGGTGCAAATCAAAACAATTATGAGATATCATCTCACCCCAGCAACAATAGCAAAGTTCAACAGGCCAGGAAACAATAAATGTTGGTGAGATTGTGGAGAGATTGGAACTCTTACTCACTGCTGGTGGGAATGTAAAATGGTACAGCCACTATGGAAAGTGGTCTGTCCCTTTCTCAAAAATTTGGAAATAGAAATAACATTTGACCCAGTAATTCCACTACTGGGAATATACCCTCAAGAAATCAGAGCTGAGACTCAAACAGATGTAGGCACAGCTGTGCTCATTGTTGTGTTATTTGCAATAGCAAATAGACGAAAGCAACCTAAGTGCCCATTAACAAATGAATTTATTGTTGTTGTTAAGTGCTGTCGAGTCGCAGGCGACTCATAGCGACCCTATGAAGGAGAGTCCTCAATGCTTGTGTGTCTCTCATCCTCTCTCCAGGTTCATAGGGTTTCCGGAGGCAAGCTATTACAGACGTGGATGACACTCCTCCTTCCAAGCTTGTTTTATTTGGGGAGCTCCACTCCACGCTGTCTGCATTGGGTAACCAACCATTAACACATTTGATCTATCAGTGTCACAGTGTTCAGCCTCACAGTAAGCACAAGTTACCGCTGAACAGCAAGTGGACACACCAGGGCTATACGACCTAGAGGAATGAACAGATTAAAAAAAATTATGATACAGTCACACTATTACACAGCACTGCAAAACAATGAACATTATACAACACAAGGGAGCCTGGAGGATATTATGGTGAGTGAAATATCCGTCACAAAAGGACAAATACTGCACAGTACTGCTGTTATCAAATAGGACAGACACAGGAGGGGGGTGTTTGGGGAAAGAATAGAAAATGAATAGATATATAATGAACACTGCATGAGACAAGATGAGGGGAAGAACTGTATGAAATGAATATATGATGAGGTATGACATGAAGAGGGAGGAGGAAAATGTGCAACAATGGAAATAAATGAAAACATTTGTGATGTTAAAAAAAAAACTCAATTAAAATTTAATTACCTTAGCCACTCAAGTGACAGTACTCAACAATCCCCTATGTTTAGAAGCTATGATTGGTTTTAGATAGTGCCATTGCTGAACTTGTATTGACAGTGCTGAACGAAAGGTCTCCAACGAAAAACAGTTTTGATAACTTGATGCTTTGATGACCATACTAGGAAGGCTCTGCTTAGTTTTTGTTTGAATCATTGGGTTTGAGAAAGAATGTGAAGAGGTAAGATCCTAGACTTTGGTGTGCACTGTGAAGGTTAACTTTCCCAGTGAAGACATTAATTCTTGGAATCAATGTGGATGATGGCTTAGGTGAGGTGATGGCAGTAGAGGATGTGGTTTCCTGAACTTAGGTTTTCCTGTGAGTGAAAAAAGTGACTGACCCAGTTGGGCAGAGGAAGTGGTTAAAGCTCCCTTTAAAGAAAAACAAATTTGCACCAAAAATGAGCATAGCTGTCCTTGCCTTATGTTTTCTGGAATTACCTTTGTCTTGATTCATCTGATTATATTGGTAACAATGGGTTAAGCATCCTAATAACGTCACGAGTCTTCACTTTTCTTTCTAGCTTAATAGATTCTCAATTCTTCCCTCAAAAAGTGTTATTCATTATTAGTCTTGTTTCATGTGCCTTTAAATTGATCATTCGTACTTCTCATACTAGTTTAGGGCTCCCTGCCTTGTAGAATAATTTTCAGCAGTGGCTGAGGAAATTTGTTTGTCTCCTTCCACGTCTCACCTCATTCTTGGATACGAACTTATGAAGTGAGAATCAGTAAAGACTATTTGGGAGTCTTAATCTTTACCAGGTCGGTGGGAGGCTGATGGTGAAGTTGCAATAGCTCAAGAGATATGACAAAAGGAATTGGCTACTATTCATAGAAAGGCTAAGAGGACTAAGTACAGAGAAGAAAGTGGCAAAGTCAAGAGTGGTTCCTAATAGCTTTAAGAGGTACGGCTTTTAAGAAGTGTAAGGGATTAAGAAGCTGATTACAAGGAATGAAGTGGAAGTTGCGAGGGCAGCAATGAAAACACAAGCATTGTACTGTGTTGGCTATTTCATCATTCTTTTTACACAATAAAAACCCTCTGAATGAATTCTCAGCAAAGAAAATCATACTGAATGCATAAATTCCTTTATTGAAAATATTGGGATAGCACTGCATTACATATATTCAATATCCATAAATGAAGGCTCACACATTTCTGAGTAAACAATACTGTTTTAAATAGAGAACACAGCATCTGGATATGCTCTCACAAGCAGAGTATCATGGACTAAACTAGGTAAGAGTGAGCTAATATGCAAAATGATCATTTTGTTTGCAAACAGCACATGGCATGAACAGTAAACATGATCGTCATGTGACATTCCTGGTATCTCAAACCAAACCTTAATGAAGGAGCAGGTCAACTGCCAGTCAGTTATCTGGTTGATCGAGAGTTGCCCAAAGGATGTGATGGATGAACAGAGGATCCAGGCTACAGATTTTATGGCATTTACTTAAAATTGCATGTAGAAATACTAAGTAAAGTCCAACAACTGCTGACCTGACAGGAGACCACCTGGCAATTAATTGTTCTCTTTTATGGACAGTCTAAAATGAGAGAATAATCTAAAGGAAATACTCTTCCAGCTTCTACCCAATAGTCTTTAGAATGCAAGGGGGGAAAAAAACCCAAAACCAAACATAAACCCCTCACAGCTATATAAATGTTGTTACTGTTTACTGTCGAGTCAGAACCGACCCATAGCAGATCCTCCAGTGGGTTTTCAGAGGCAGTTAATCCTACAGGAGGAGAATGCCCGTCCTTCTCCCATGGAGCAGCTGGTGGAAGATTCAAACCGCATGCCTTTGGGATTGCAGCGCAGCTTCTTGCCACTAGGCCACCAGAGCTCCCTCTTCCCTTCCCTCAAGAGAACACTAGGGATACAATTTAGGACAGATCACTTTTCAGCTTTGGCTATTTGAACTCTTCCCCCCTCATTAGTGATCTTTGGCTTTCATTAAAGTCTGGCAATTAATAATATTGGTAGGTATTTGATGAGGCTTTGTTGCCAAAATTATGTTTTTCCATAAAGGAGTTATTTAGTGAAATAAATATAGGTTGATACTGTTTTTTTAGAAAAGGTTTTCTCGTTATTCCAATTTTGATATGAATGCGTTTCTTGTGTTGCTTTTTCTCATATAAAAGGAACTAGAAATAAAGACTATTGGATTTATGTTTTTACATTTGATTGAAAAACTACAGAAACTAAAACAATCAGTTCTTCAGTTCTTTTTTTAGAAATAGGCTGCATATTGATGTAAAAATTTGGGGGAAATTATACAACACACATCATGAATAAAAAAATTTTGTTTAAGACACATGATTTATAAGAAGCAAAACACATCCTTCACAAAAGCAGATGTTTCTTTTAAGTCTAAATTCACAAAGGTATATCCAGTTTTATGAACATCAACTTATGGCTGTGAATAATGGCTCTTTCTTCTTTACTAAAAATTATAAACATGTTCAGGGTAAGTAACTAAAAAAATGTACCTTTTTAATGGTCTATATTTCATCACATCAATCAACTGTGATGATGACTTAAAAGTTAAGAATTATGCACTCAAAAAAATATATGCTGCTTAAGACATAGCACCCTAGACAATCAGGGCAAAACCAAACAAAAACTCAATATAAAATGACATAAATCAAATGGATTGTTTTACCAAAAGATCACAAAACTTAAACGTGTATTTTAAGATTTCACACATAAAAAGGAAAAAATAAAACAAATGTTAACACATTTTAAACAATGCATTAGAAATAATAAATAAAAGTTTAAAAAATCTTATATTTTTTTAAAGTGTTGTGCATGTTCATTTTGCTTAAAGAGACCTCTTCCATGGCAAACAATAGTAGGCTGTACATTTTGGTAATGAAAATTATGCAGATAAATATCCAAGGCATGTATATATATTTCCACAGTATCTTTTTTTTTTTTTCACAGTTACCAAAAATAAAAATTGCATTCAACTTCTACATGTATAAACACTCAGATTCCTCACGGATGGATTTAAAGGAGGTGGGCATACAATCAGAACTTCAAATTTCTTCTTTCAGGGTCTGCCCTCCACACATTTTCCCGAATCTTTCTGCAATGTGCCCGTGCTTGGAGATGACAGCAGAAAGAAAGCGTAACGATGGAATGAGGCAGCCCAGGCTGGCATCGTCTTCCAGCCTGGGTTAGACAGGTCGATTGAACCCAGTCTTTTCTCATGTCTTGTCTTAAGGCATTCTCAGTTTCACTCAAATGTCCATACCTCTAGGTCTTGAACTATGAAATCTTCCTTTTTAGAAAGAATATCATTATTGAAAGTGCTGCAGGAATTGCTTCGACCATGGTACAAATCAGCATCTAGCCATAAGCCAAATCGTCCTCTGATATAAATAGAAAAAAGAAGATGAAAACATTTCAACATTATGGGACACATTTTTCTGTCCTCTCTAGGTTAAATTCCTTATATGTATTCTAAGCAGACAAAATTCTCAACTTTGCGTAAAACAAAGACATATTCCCTTTATTTCATTTATATGACCATCTTTCCTAAATGACCAAACAGTAGTAGTCCTCATTTAAACTGATAAATAATCTCATCTTCTATTATTAGTGTTAGTCTACTATCCCCATTCATGGACTAGTTAAAAGCATGTGATACTTAGATTTTAATTATCTATGTCAAAACAGATATACTCAGGTCAGGTGACAAATTATAAACAAAAACAAAGTAATAACACCTTACCCTCCACCACCAAGTTCTAAAGAGCTTATGTCTCCATTGATGAAGTATGAGTTTTCACCACTCCACTTGAAGACCTTGGGGCAGAAATATAAAAACAGAGAACAGACATTTTAAACAAGAGAGTGGCCAAAAGGAGATGATGTGCCTGATTGAAGGGATCAGATCAAGTGGGAAAGGGCTTTCAGCAACTCGAGCTCCAGCCTTGCCCTGTCCTTGGATCCCAGACTATGGAGAAGAGGTGTTCCTACAGAGGACTCCAGGCACTGTGGGTGTGTCACAGGCTAGATGTGTCTACCCAGGTTGGAGTATGGTTTACAATTCCGTAACGCTCATCTCTAAATCCCAACACATCATTCTTGACATGGTGACACTGTGAGGTTGAATACTTCTCCACGTACCTTGAAATTGGGGCTGAAAGTGTAGAGAAAAGTTTCACCCGTGCCATAGTAATGGTCACTGAACTTGAAAGGATGAGTTGCATATGCTCCAAAAATCTGCCAAAAGAAAACAGCAATAGTAACTCCTTTCAACCCTCAGACTCCCACAGAAAGGCTTTCTGATCCAAATTCTCTATAAACTTTCATTAAAAAATCAATTAAAAAAACCAATCAAAAACAAAAGAAAAACCAAACCAAAAAACCCAAAAATAAAGAAGAAAGGCTTTCTGGAATACTTCTGACATAATCCTGTTCCAAGATCCTATTATACTTCCTTCATCAGAGATCACTACTAAATTTACACTCTTAAAAATGATTACTAGTGTGTACATCACCTACTAGTGTGTATGTCCGAAGTTCTTTATTTAAAAAAAAAATGTTTTTTATGATGGCACGAAGCCTCACCTGATTATCCATATCTTTGATGACCAGTAGGACAGGACTATCTAGTGATGCTGACTTCCGATAGAGAGTCTTCAAGCTGGTGCCATGCTCTAATGTGCTATATGCAAGTCTCCACGGATATCCCTGCACCCGTGCTGGAAGACGTCGGGCCAGCTGCAAATCCAAAGACAGAGATGAACACGTTTCACTCACACATCACTTATGAACTCATGGTACAAAGCCACTGTCTACGGCTCAAGCTCAGATACTTTAACTACATGTTGCTCTCCTTTACCCTGGAAAATACATGCCCCTATAAACTATGTAATGGAAGGAAACTCAGTGCTCGGGGGCCTGACGCTGGGTGCTATGCTACTCACAACCTATTTGAAGACACACGATCAAGCTTATAAATGTATGAAAGAGATGCAAGCTCTTCCTTTTGCCTTTTAACCTGACTTTCACTAAACAGTTCATATGCTTCTCCAATCGCCTTTTCCAAACTCTCCTAGGCTCAGAGATGCTAAGGAGAACCACATGTTCTCCCAGAAGTGACAGCAAGAATAGTAGTTTACGCCAGTAATCACATGGGAGGAGTCCTGGCAGCACAATGGTGAAGAGTGCTCTATGGGAGACCTGGTCATCTGCGCTCATAGTCTATAAAACCCTATAGAATTAAGGTTGCATAGAGAAGTGTACTCAGGGTGGGGGGTGGGGGGAAGGGACATGGGAATTGTATACTAATGAAGGAATTTTTTTTCTTTTTCTCTCTTCGGAGGGGGAAGCGAGCTGGTGGGGAGGGGTGGGAAGGGAGAAAATTGCAGCAATGAATGAATGGAAATCCAAAACCTCTGTAAAAAAAAAAATTATAAAAAAAAACCCCAACAAACCCTACAGGATCCATCCCGTCACATGTGTTTGTTCTGAGGAAGAAAAAAAAAAATCACAGTATCTAGTAAGAGTTAGTATGTTCTGTCACCTGTTTTTTTTGGAAACACTTTTATTGGCCTGGAGGCAATCATTCATATATCCTATGTTTCATCCATGTTCACTATATTTTATGCATTCTTTCACAAACCCTCCAGTCATATCAAGATTTAAGTGTGATTGTCATAAATGTCAATAAAGGCTATCTCTTAAAAATATGAAGAAAAGGAAGTGAGAAGGTGTTGAATTCTTTCTAGTGCTTACAATCAGTTCCATCATCATTATTACCTCCATCCCTGGACCTGCTTTATCAAGTCTTTTGGACCAGTGGGTCTTCAGGGAATTGTTTGTAGAACGAGGGTGCTGAGCTTGAGGATCCTTAAATCAGCTGGTATAGCGTCACATCAGGCTCATGGTGGCCTCATGTCAGGGTAGCACTGTGCTCCCAGGATTTCCAATGGTTGATTTTTCATCAGTAGATTGCCATGCCTACCTTCTGAGATGGCTTTGAATGGATTTAAACTTCTAGCCTTGTCCTATACAATTTGGGGGCGGGGGCGGGGTTTGGTTGTTTTTCAGAGTTGTTGGCATGTGCCATCAAGGCAAGACTAATTCACAGCTGATCCTTCAGAGGGTTTTCAGAGGCTATAAATTACACAGGAAGAGAATGCCCATCTTTCTCCCACAGAGCAGCTGGTGGATTCAAAACATGTGCCCTGGGTTGGCAAAGCAGCTCCTTTACTCACTAGGCCACCAGAGCCACAGCCATAAAGGAATTTCTAGTTTTTTAGGTTAGCAGCAGAGCATGCTATTTATATTATACAGGGACTCTGATGATTCTCTAGGAAATCTAAAATTCATGTTTCCTAGCTGCTTTAGTGAGTCCCATATAAGAGGGCCCTTACGAAGGTTCAAAAGCAAGTACATCAACAAACAAAGTGACAAAAAATCTTCAGAAAAGGTAACATATACAAAAAACTATGACAGAAAAAGAAAAAACCTTCATAGCAGCAGATACTTTTCAAAAAGCAAGTAAAGTGCATGTATTGCATTTGTTGTTGTCATGTGCTGTCAAGACACCTGCAATTCACAGCAACCCTACACAGCTCTGAACCTTGCCCTCTCCTGAGCCAACCTCACTATCTCTGACACACCTGTCCTCATTACTCCAGTCACTGTGTTAATCCTTCTCATCCAGGGTGTTCTGCTCCTGCGCCATCCCTCCACCCTTCCAAGCAAGATGTCCTTCTCCAAGGACTGTTCCTTCAAGGCAACACGTCCAAAGTATGAGAGATGGAGCTTCAAAATCCTTGCCTCCAAAGAGAAACTTGGCTTCACCCTCTCCAGGACAGACCTGTTAGTTCTCTTAGCAGTCTAGGAATTCAATACTCTTCTCCAGCACAACTCAAAGGCATCACTTCTTCTTCTGTCATCGTTAGTCAATGTCTAGCTCTCTGATGTATAGCAAGAAATTGTGAACACCATGGCCTAGATCAGGCGTGCCTTAGTCTTTAGACTGACATCTTTGCTCTTCAGCACTCTGGAGAGGTCCCTGACAGCAGACTTTCCTAATGCAATTTATCTTTTTATTGGTGCCAAGAGTGTTGACTATGGAACCAAGCAAGCTGAAGTTATTAACAATCTCAATCTCTTGTCCATCTATCGTGTTGCTGCCAAACGGCCCAGTGAGAATCTTTGTTTCCTTGATGTTGCGTGTCTAACCATATTGGAGACTGCAGTCCTTGATCTTCTGCAGCAAACACTTCAAATCCTGTTTTGTTTTGGCAAGCAAAGCTGTGTCATAAGCATAATGCCGATGTTGTTGATGAGTTTACCAAGCTCTAAAAACAAAAGTCATCAAAAGACTGCAATAACCACTTAAATAGAATTGGATCATTTCCAGGTGTATTCAAAACAAAACAAAAGCCCTCAAACTCACAGTCACTGAGTTGGTTCCAAAAGTTACCCTCCCTCAGGTTTCTGTGGCTGTAAATCACCATGGGAGGAGACTGGCCAGCTTTCTCCCAAGGAGCTACTGGTGGATCCCAGCCTCCCCACCTGCAGCCTTTGGATTTGCCGTGCGAATCACTACCGACTACGCCACCAGAGGCCCCTGGGCACATCGAAACTAAGACAAAACATCTGGCATAGAGTCTGACCCACGGCAAGCCCACATTTGTCAGCATGGAACTGAGCTCCACGAGTGTTCAATGGCTGGTTGTTTCAAGTAGGTTTCTAGGTCTTTTTCCAAGGTGCCTCTGGATACATTCAAGTCTCTAAGTGCTTTTCAACTGAGGGCATTAACCAGCTAGGGACTCCAAGGATTAGAGGAGGACCTGCTTTAAAAGGCTTTTAAAACAAGAAGCGGCTTTCCCCTGGGTTTTCTGCAAGAAGGATGCCAGTCTCTGACTAAGACCTTGCACTCCAGTGAAGGCAGCAAGGAATGCTTCTGTGCCCTTTAAGAGCAGAGACTGGGATATGCGTGGTGTGGGGGGTATTGGCCAAACCTCAGCCATGACTTGTTTGTGACCTGGCTGATGCTTCACTTGGAGGGAGAGGAGTCGATGTGGCCAGCGATGGGGAGTAGCCTGTGAGTCAATACGGCCTGCGATGGGGAGTAGATTGTGAAGTCTGGAAGGACCCTTCCCGCGGACACCCACCTGCTCCACGTGCCAGTCCTCCTGTGGAAGCTCACCTGCTCCACTGCATGTCCTCCCGGGGGCGCCCACCTGCTCCATGTGCCTGTTCTCCCACGTAAACCCACCTGCTCCACGTGCGTGTCCTCCCGCGGACGCCCACCTGCTCTGTGTGTTTGTCCTACCACTGAAGCCCACCTGCTCTATGTGCATGTTCTCCAGGAGCGCGCTGTGCGGCTGCAGGACCGGAAGCACCTCCTCCTCTTCATCCTCATAGTAGCTGCACGTGCTCTTTCTGCGCTTCGCCTCTTCAACGGTGATGATCTGAAACGGAGGAAACAACCGAGGAAAGTGAGGGACTTGGCTTTTCCTCAGACTCCTGAAACTACCTCAGGTACAAATTGCTTATGAAATGTGGAGCTTCTACTCCACAGGACCCAAACAGAAATGGTGCTCTGGGGAAATGGCTAATTTTTCCATTTCAGAACAAAAGAAGACTTTAACACAGTACAACTCAAATCATTATCAAAGGTTTTAACTTTTAGTATCACTGCTATTTGCTCAGTCACTGAATGAGAATGATGTGTATGCCCCCAATCTGTGCGACTCCCATATGAAACACCTAAATCATTCTCTTACAGCTTTTAGCTAAGTCAGAACTGCTAAGGGACTAATTAGAAGCCTGGGAGACCCTCCAGAAGATGGACTGACACACTGACTGTAACAAAGGGCTTCTGCAAATCAGGGATGGCGGGGATGGCGCCCCATTGAGCAAGGTTCAGATCTGTTGTTCACAGTGGCCGCGAGTCTGCATGGTACCTAACAACAAAAATCCAAGCTCATCCAGTTAGTCTCCTAAACGGCATTTAGCAAGAGAAAGACTGTTTCTGAATCAAAGTTCCTGATGTATTCTCCCAAAAAGCTGTGAATGGAGCAGCTATCTCTGATAGAGGCAATAAATACTACCAGGAACAATGCGACAAAGAGGCATAGAGTTTTATGCTGAAGTCCATCTCGGTTAGAATCCTGTATGTACTGTTAAAAAGTGATCTTCTTCATTTTCTTCTAAACTGAGAAATATTATGGTAAACACCTTCACTCTTCTGTAGTTATGTTTATGAACTGTCAAAGTCCACCACAAAATTTATTTTTTGTCCCTAAAATCTGTATAAACCATTGCATTATTTTGAAATAGAAGGATGTTTTAGGCAACTAATTTAATAAACTTCACTGGTATGGTAATTAGTGTAAACTTTAAGTTATACTCAGTGAAATCTATCTAACAGTGTACTATTTATTTCCTAAGATGCAACAGATAATAAGTAAGTGCCACTATAGGAGCCAAAATTACAGGAAAAATAGCTTATAAATATTACTATCTCCTCAAGGAGTATTTACCTTTAAAAAAAAAAGACTGCTCAAGAATCACAAATGCAGCACTTGAACTGCATTAAGCAAACCACCATCCTTTGCGTGAATTCTCTGTTTATGACAGGTACAAATGAGACTACAAAATACTTTTTAAGAAATAATCAAGGGGAAGGGGCAAAGCATGCCCACCATATGGCTTTTAGCAGCTGCTGGGTGGGCCCCTCACCATTATACATCTTCAAAAGGAACAAAAGAACCTGCTCAGGTTGAAATGTCAGCACATGCCTTTCTAACTTATTGAAAGGGAGGTAACTGAAGAGTCAGCACCAGCTCACATACCTTCACGAAAGGTTCCTGGTTAGGTCTGGCACAATAGAGAATCTGAATGTCCAGGGGTAGTCTTCGAACTCTCATGGTGACCACTATAGTCTGCAATCTCTAATAAGAAGCACGCTCCTTTTCTATTTCCACCTCACAAATACCAGCAGCCACGCTGAACTACAACCGCTTTTGTGGTATCTAATTTCCTGCATGATTGAGTTTCTGTTTCCCTCAGGAGAGGGTTCAACATTTCTACAGGAACACACCCAAATTAGGACTTAGAGCAAACACACATTTCCTGCCAGGCATAGCTGTGTGAGTGTAAAATGACACTTTCACCTTTGAAACGGTGGTTTCCTAACAGCAGTAACAAAAAACAAAACCCCATTGTTGGCTTTTTCACCCCCTTTTTCTCCTCAGACTTTTCTTCCTAATTGTCCCTGGCTCACCTACCTCCCTGTTCAGCTCAGCCTGGCAGAGAGCTGCTTTTCAGCACCTTCCCAGAGACTAAACGTTTGAATCTCAAAGGAAGGATGAAAACCAGCAAAGGTCAAACATGTTGAAACAAAAAGAGTGTTTAGATTGGTAGGTTCATCACAGAGCAGGAGCATTTCACAAGACCAAGTCAGTTTGGTTTGATACGAAGAACTGAAAGATTGACAGAATATGCACTTTATGTGAGGCAGTGCTTTCTTTGGAAGTCAGCTCTCTAAAACAGCTGGCAAAGTGATGAACCCCTTGCTACAGTTTAGAAAAAGAGTCTGCATGACTGATGAGCATGAGCCCTCCTCTGCTCTCTGGATCGATGTCACAGGTTGGAAAGAAATGTAGATCCCTACTGGATCAGTTTTCAGTGACTTCTCTTTTGTCTTCTTTGAAGCTGAAATAGCTCTCTGAGGTTGGGGACTGCTTTGAGTTCAGAACACAGCTGCATAGCTCATCCTGGGACTCAGCTATAAGAGAATGATTCTGCCGAACCTTGGCGACCAGTCCAGGTCCACCAGAACTCCATCTCAGAGCAAAAGCCCACACACACCCTGAGAAAGAACCCCCTAGATTTCACGCCGGGGAGATACCATAGTCCTCTGAACCTGGCACATCACTAAAGCAATTCATTTATCCATCTTTCTGAGCTGTGGTGAGTGTCAGGTGCTAGAGGAGCACAAGGCAGCCCAAAGGCGCCTTTGTAGGAGGTGAGGGTGGGTGGGGGGAGCGCCTGAGTAGAAAGACATCTACATGAAAGAATGTCATTCTTTGTGATACAAATGCTAAAAGCTGGAGTAGAAGCCCAAAGGGGGCTTGGTATACCTGGGGAGTGCTGGGTGGCTTACTCTCAAAGGCGGTAAGTGATTCACTATGAGAGCAGAAAGTGGAGTGTGTGGGTGGGGGGCAGGGAAGGTATTTCTTGTGGAGGGCAGAGCAAGGACACAAAACCATGAAATAATATGCTAGTTTCAGGAAAGCATTTTGAGGTTCACTGTGGTTGTAGAAGAGACAGCAAGGGAAGTACAGATGAGAGAGGTTAATGAGGCTAGGGAAGGAGCAGAAGTCAAGATAAGGAAGACTTTTGAAGCCATCAAACAGCTTAGAATTATCCTTATAGTTTTTAAAACTTGGCTGGTTTTCAGTCATCTAAGTGATGTTTGGTGTTTTTTTTTCTCTTTAAAATTCTGGAAAAAATGTGGTGAGATAGGAACTCTTATACATTCTTGGTGGAATTGTAAAATGGTACAACCACTCTGGAAGGCAGTTTGGCACTTCCTCAAAAAGCTGAACGTAGAAACTCCGTATGACCCAGCTGTTCCACTGCTTGGAATATATCCTGAGAAAATGAGAACTGAGGTACAAATGGAGACTTGTGCACCAACAATCATAATAGCATTATTTACTATCATAGGAACATGGGAACATCCTGACCACAATCAAATGGATTGAGAAATTATGGTACATTCACACAATGGAATACTACACAGCATGCAGGAACAATGATTTTGTTAATTATTATCCAACTTGGAGAGACTGGAAAGCCTTATGCTGAGTGAACTAACTCAGTCCCATCAGGACAAATACTGTATAAAACCATTATTGTAGAATGAGTATGAGGATCCAAGAGGGGGAGGGTGGAAGCAGAGGGATGCAGATGTGCTGGGGAAAGAGGGGAATTAACCATGGGGTTGTACAATTTGATGGGGCATGGGGGGGTGAGGGAAATCGGAAGAATATGATCTGAAAAACAATGTACTCTATTTTATAAATAAACTAGTATAATAATTAAAACCAAAAATAGATACACTCACACTTCCTCCAGAATTAATGTATCAGAGTGCTGTGGATTTAAGATACAATTATAAAATAAATCAGTCCACAGGTAGTGGTTCTGATGAACAGCTACTAAGAGCAGGGGGTATATGTAATCTTGTTTGTGTATTTAAAAAACAAAAACACAACCAAGTGCTTAAAATCAACCTTTAAACATTTTGAGAGAAACATCACAAATCATTAAGTAGACTTGAAAAAATTGACCGTCTTAAACAAATCATACCTTACACCATATCAAAACAAACATTAGATTGAATCAAGAGTTTAAACAGTACAGAGTTTCCTCTGGAAACCACACACACACTAGAAATTTTCCACAGGAAAAAACCATGAACAAAATTATAAGGACCATATTAAGGAGAAGAATCTGAAAAATATCTTTCATACTTAAAGAGTTAAAAAAATGACGACACATATTAAGACTTCTTATGGAAAATGAACAAAAGAAACAAGGTGACAACAAAAGGAATGTATATACACATATACACTCATATATACATATATATACCAATGTGTGTGTGTGTATGTATGTATATATTCTATCTCAATAGTGTGAAGTCTGGTGGCCTACTGGCAAGACAGTGTGCTGCAATCTCAAAGGCATACAGTTCAAGGCCACCAGTTACTCCACGGGAGAAGGATGTAAACACAGAATAGGAAATGCAGATCTATCAATTATTTTTCAGTTACCAACTCAATTCACTGCCATCAAGTTTGTTCTGACTCACAGCGACCTTGCACTGGGATTGAGGCTGTAAATCTCAAAGGGAGTAAACTGCTCATCTTTCTCCTGCTGAATTGCTGCTGGACTTGAACCACCAGAGTCAAAAGGCTTTTTGGTTAGCAGTGCAACATACAACGGACTACATCCCCAGGTCTCCCGAAAGCTAGCCTTTTGGTTATTGAGTCAGCTTTGAATTACGGTGAACCCACGGGTAACAGAGCAGAAGTTGTCTTGTCCATCACCCCGAGGGGAGCCTATGTGGGCTTTGTTTGCATGCATTTCAATCACCAAGCTTCAGGTTAGCAGTTGGGTAGCTTAGGGAGGGACCTAATGGAAAACTCAACTCAACTCAACTCGTTACTGTCAAGTCAGAACCGACTCAGCAGAGCCTCCAGCAGGTTTTCAGAGGTAGTAAATCAGATGGGGGATTGTTCATGGATGTTCATGGTGGATTCTAACCACCTGCCTTTGGGTTGGCAGTGCAATTCCTTATCACTAAGCCATCAGAGTTCCCTGACAAATCTGTTGTTGTGTACTGGAGAGTCGGAAACAATCCATCCTGACTCTCCAGAGAGTTTTTAAGGGCAGTAACTCTTGTGGGAGTAGACTGCCCGTCCTTCTCTCACAGAGCACTTGGTTAAATTGAAGCGTGTATCTTTGGGTTGGCAGTACAATTCCTTACCACTAAACTATCAGAGCTCCCCTCCTAAAAAATAAGAAGCTGGTTGCCTAGAGAGAAAGGAGTTTTGCTGTTAATGCAAAGGCCAGCAGTTCAAATCCAGCAGGTGCTCTGTGAAAAATGAGCCTCTCCCTTTCTGCGATCTGCAGCCTCTGCAAGCCTGTGGGAAGGGCATCTAGGAGCCACTTTGACTTGACAGCAATGGCTCTTAGTTTATCTACCAATACAGGCATGTATTTCCTAATGTTCATGATACATTCTGTGAAATAGGAAATGATATGATTCAGCTTTTGTGCAAATACTACATTAAACCCTTATGGGAACCCCCTTCTGGTCATCCTCATTGCTGCTGCTGGCAGCACTAAGGCTGGTGGGGACTAGAGGAATGTTAGATAAAGGACAGCGGGGGAATCACAGTGAGAGACATTGAGGGTCCCAGTCCTGCTCACTTTTCTGACAGCCTCAACAAAAGGAGGAGCCTAGGCCCTGCAGCCCCCACTGCTGCGGCCCACCTGCCAAACCCACAAAATGCAAGAGCTCATGTCCAGAGCCATGTCCTCTCTCACCTGCCTGTATCCCACTGCTGTCTAGTGCTACCAAAGTCTAGGTTTAACCCAAAGCTCATTGCTGTCAAGTCAAAACTAACCCACTGCTGACGCTCCAGCAAGTTTTAGAGAGGCTGCAAATCACATAGGAGGAGACCAACTATCTTTCTCCCACAGAGCCACTGGTGGATTTGAACCACCAAAGAGATACCATCAGTGGGCTAGCAGCACATTTCCCTAAGGACTATGCCATCCATTCCAAAGCCAAAAGAAAAGCCACTTCCAGCAAGGCAATTCTGACTATGGTGATTCTCCATTGGGTTTGTAAGGTGGTGTTTTAGAGGAGGATACGGCTTCCTTTTTTTCTTGTGGAGAAAAATGATAGATTCGAACTGCCTGCCTTTTGGTTAGCAGCCTAACAGTAAAGTACGACATCTCCAGGACTCCTTAAGCAATCAGGGAAATACTAAACAAAAGGCGAGTTGCTTTCCCTTAAGAACAAAGCACAAACCTTAAGGGGCCACAGATGGCTATGTGCTCAGACACTGTGTGAACCGATGTTAAGTGATGCATACTCAAAATCTACTTCCAGGAAACTATTCTAAGCAACAGTAAGAGCTGCAGATCAAGTGCAAAACTTGAATCAAGGTGATTACTCTTCAAAAGCAATCATTAAATAAACTGTAATAGAGATAAAATTACTATTGAACCATTAAAAAGGAGGCTTAAAAATCTTTCATAAGATAATTTTCAGGATATGTGTCTGTTAAGGAAAGCAATATACAAAAAAAACTACACAGGTCATGATCTTACACTGAAAAAAATTTATAAAAAAATCCTCCATCACA